CCAAAGAATGATACAGAGAAAAAGTAGCAGTGAGATAAACTCCCACCTTCAGTGAGATTGGGGAACACTCATATGTGGAACAGTAATACTACGTGTGAAAAGGGACTTTCAGATTAGTGAGAACTGCACCAGTGTGAAGGACGGGGACTTTCAATGTCACAGGTGAGCTACATAGAATGCACGGTTCTCTAAAGCAGATGTCACAGTCCTGGCTTGAAACAAAGGTCGGAGTGCACAGACTGGGTGTGACATGCTGCCAGCAATAACCGAGAAAGCACAAGAAACAGACATGCCGACTTTGCCAGCCTGGGTGGGTAGAGGATAAACCGTGGGGAACAAGCAGCCCACCAGCTTCTTGTCTGCGAAACAGGAGTGAAAACATAACCATTCATCAAAAACTTCCACTAAGTGGTTTCACTGTGAGGAGGGAAAAGCCAGCTGGCCAAAAGTCACCCACAACATTATTGGGTATCGATGATAGGGCTTCTGGAGGAAACAAACTCAAGGGGCTCACCAGCCCACTCACCGGTTTTTAGCCTTACTATCATTTCTTATTATACAGCTCAGGAATAATGTCCCTTTCTCAGTTGGAGGACTGACAATATCCATAAGAAATCAGCATGGTACCAATGCAGCATGCAGCATTTAAAAAGAAATATCACACATATACATAGAGGTGGATGAATAAAATACATCAGAAATGGGCGTGGTAGCTCATGCCTGTAATCCTAGCACTCTGGGAGGCCAAGGAGGGTGGACTGAGCTCACCAGGAGTTCAAGACCAGACTGAGCAAAAATGAGACCTGATCTCTAAAAATAGCCAGGCATTGTGGTAGATGCCTATAGTCCCAGCTACTTGGGAGGCTGAGACAAAAGGATTGCTTGATCCCAAGAGGCTGGGGTTGCTGTGAGCTATGATGCCATGGCATTCTACCCAGGGCAACAAAGGCTCAGTCTCAGAAAAAAAAAAAAAAAATCAAAGGTCATACCAAAGCAGGCGAAAATTAAAAGAAGAAATTTCTCCAAAAAGCCATGTGGCATCATACATTGATAGCAAAAGTTCACCTAGGAAATCCTCCAAGAGAACTGCTGTGTCTACTTTTGTAGCTACTAACACTTGAAACATGAAGGAACGAAATGACTAACATTTGAATCTAAATTTAAAAACTGATACTCATTTTAATGATCAGAAAACTTTTAAGTATGTTTAGAACAACCAGGTTATGCAAATTTACTTTTCTTTTTCCTTTTTTTTTTTTTTTTGAGACGGAGCCTCAAGCTATCCCCCTGGGTAGAGTGCCATGGCCTCACACTCACAGCAACCTCCAACTCCTGGGCTCAAGCGAGTCTCCTGCCTCAGGCCTCCCAAGTAGCTGGGACTACAGGCGCCCGCCACAACACCTGGCCATTTTTTGGTTGCAGCCATCATTGTTGTTTGGCGGGCCCAGGCTGGGGATTCGAACCCGCCACCTTAGGTGTATGTGGCTGGCGCCTTAGCCACTTGAGCCACAGGTGCCGAGCCGCAAATTTACTTTTCAATTTTAAATTTTATTAAATCTAAATACAGATCAAGTATTGCCAATAAAAATTTAATGTCTCAATTGAGATGTGCACACCAGATTCTGAACTTAGCGTGATAAGAATATAAAATATTTCATTGAAATAATATTATCTTCAATACATTGGGCTACATATATTATTAAAATTAATTTTACCTGCTTTTTTAACGTGTCTACTAAAAAGTCTTAGGCCATGTGACTTGCATTATGTCTCTATCAGACAGCACTGCTATAGAAAATGAAGGCACAAGTATATGAAGTAAATACACACGCATCATTCAAAGTAAAACAAACAAACAAACCTAACTCAAAACCTGTAAACAAAATGAATGCATGCCCATGGAGGAACGGTTTGATTAATGCATTAGATAATATGCCATGGGCCATTATGAATCCTTTGAAAAGAATTGAAAGTTTTGCCAGTGGAATTGAAAATATTCACAAAGATTATGATAGAAGAGAAGGACAATGCATAGAACAGATGTATGTTTGTAAAATGTGATAATGGCCTGAAATTGAAAAAAAGTACAGAAGACTACATATCTGGTTATTTAACCTGAGTTACCTGTGTGCGGTGAAGAGCAGGGAAGCAGAAGAGGAAAGCAAGGAAGAAGCAAATAAAAGGTCTAACTTCCTCCCTTTCTCAGCATATATGTTATCTCAGTTATGCAGAATTGTACACGCACACACACAATAAATAGAAGGGAAAGACAGAGCTAGAATGACACATGACTTGCAGGAATATCCAAGGCATGCTGTCAACTGAAAAGGATGAAGTTAACAGGTAAATAGATTCATTCTGTTTGTATACCAACAACACATTGCTTGCATTATTATGAGTATATGTGTTCATGTTAGCAAGAAGAGTATGCTAGTCAGTTCACAATGATAAGCTGAGGGGTATGGTACTGCAAAGAAACTTAGGGTGAGCAGGTGGGGAGAAAGATGTTTAGCTATGTATTACATTTTTAAAGCTACATATGCATATACAGATACAATCTTCATTTTTATTACAAATAGATATTGCTCTTCATAATTTGAAAAGGAAATATTAATAAAGAGGGCAGCAATTATTAAGTTTTTTTGAAGTAAAGAAAAGCTCAGAGAAGAGCTACAAATATTTGTAATAGTAATAACAGGAGACAGAATTTAAAAATTTGTTGGGCAGAGAGGCAAACTAGAAGCAGCAAAGATATTTTCTTAAAAAGAGATTCTTGCCTCAGCGCCTGTGGCTCAAGTGGCTAAGGTGCCAGCCACATACACCTAAGGTGGCGGGTTTGAATCCAGCCCGGCCCGCCAAACAACAATGATGGCTGCAACCAAAAAATAGCCGGACATTGTGGCGGGCGCCTGTGGCCCCAGCTACTTGGGAGGCTGAGGCAGGAGACTCGCTTGAGCCCAGGAGTTGAAAGTTGCTGTGAGCTGTGATGCCACAGCACTCTACCCAGGGTGACAGCTTGAGGCTCTGTCTCAAAAAACAAACAAAAAAAAGAGATTCTTGGGAATAACATGGAGTAGAAAAATGCAAAGAGTTAAAGAGGATTAGAGAGAAAATAATAGCCATAGCAGATAAAGGAGAACCAAATATAAACAACAGCCTGTGTGCCATCGGGTATTATGAAGCCTGACACCAAAACAGAGATGCACACAACACAGTAGAACCTCCATGGTTGACCACCTCCTACATTGACCACCTCCTTACGTTGACCTAATTTTCATAGACTGGACATGCACATGTGTACATATCTGTGCAGGAGGCCAGTTTCTTATGTTGCCTACCTCTGTATGTTGACCAGTTTGTTACAGTCCCTCAGGTGGTCAACTTACTGAGGTTCTACTATATGTGTTCCTAAAATAAAGTAGACTTTATTCAGTAGACTGAAAGGTCACATTGAATTTCAAGAAAAATTAATACAAATGATTAATAATTAGAAACAGTACATTGTACTTCAGAGATAAAGAGTCCTTTGGGCATTTAGCCCCCTCCTTCACCACCATCAAAAAACAAAAGGCAACTATTTACACAAAGATTTTTTTTAATTAGTCTTGTGCATGGACAGGAGAGAAAATGTAAACAAATTATTTAAGATATGCCAAAACTTTTTTCACATTCAGGGTCTCTTGTGACTCACCTTTTGACTCAGTCATTGATGTTTTCTCACAGTGCAATCTTAATGCCATTGAAAGCAATGGTGGTGAGCATTTAATTTCACCACTGTCTCTGGGAGTTCTTCATAGACATGGATACCCATTAATCAAGTTTGATGTTGATGCCATCTTGGTCAATGGAATTACCAATGGTTCTCAGATCTCAACCAGGACTTTTTTTTTCTTCCTTAACTGTTCCTTATGTGACTTTTTGACTATAGAGTAGCTATTTTCCAGTCTTGTCACCGGGAACATATTACTGGGTTTCCCACAGGTTGACTCCTTGAAGGGAGATATGGATATCATGCACCCTTGCAATATGTCATATTATTTCTGCAGTATATTCAGTATCCTTCCCTATGACTGGATAATTCATCTGTGGTAACAGACATCATGCTTGTCTTGGATTTGGTTTAGCTAATGAAATGCCATAGAAGTGAAGAGTGTCATTTCCCAGATGAAGTTTTAAGAAACATCATGTTGTCCCCACTTTTCTTTTCCCACCCTTTTAAGACAAACATGCCCCACATAGGGGCTGCTTCTTAGTCTGGGTCCTGGGAATGAAGACGACATGGATAATCACCAAAATTGACCACTATAAACATGTAACATTAGTGAAAAATAAAATTGTAAACAATTGAGTTTTGGGGGTTGCTTGTTAGTGCAACATAATTTAGCTTAAGCTGACTGACAGCACTCTGTAAGTGGAAGGGATTTATTTAAATCCTGCCTTTGGTATATTCTGTGTACTCTCCTGAAGGACTCTTGATTTCTGCAGGACTTTCCAAGGGCAGCCAATCAGTAGGTGACTGATGTTAGTTTTTCTTCATGTAATATTCAAGTTCAGGATATTTCAAGTATGCAAAGGTATATGCTGAGTGACTTCACCAGAGATGTATTTAAAATGAGTTACCCTGGACTACGTAGAGATCATTTAGCATACCAAGAAGGTGTGGATGAATCATAGCCCAGTGGTTGGGATCTACCATTTATACTTGTGTTCTAGTGAAATGACTCGAAAATCTAAGGTTGTAAAACATCATTGGGACAGGAAATGATTTCACTTTGGGACATCATAGTATTCTCAGTAGGGAAGGGATGGGCAGGAGAGGAATGCGGAAGTAGGATGAAGATGTTGGGAGTTCTGAAGGGTTCACTCTGGTTTTTCTTCTTTCCTTGCAATTAAAATGGATCCATGATGGAAGTATCAATCTGTAGGCAACAGCTTTTTTTTTTTCTTTCCAAAACAAAAAATCCAGCATGTGTTCTCAGATTCTGGAGAAGTGGCTGAACTCAAAATGTAGTAGGGATCCAACTGCAGTTAAGTGTTGATGGATTCAGCAATTTGCAGCAATCCTTCAAAGAATACAGGCTGTAGTTTCCTCCTGGGATAACCTCACCGGGACCCTTGACAACAGTGCTGGTAGAAAGTAGAAAGAAACAATTAGTTGAGCCTTAGATGTCAGAAATAGTAGGTGAACAGAAGATAAAACATAAAATAGCACAGCACAGGAAACTGATTTGCCTCCTTACGTTCTGGTTGGGGGGGGGGTGCGTTAAGCACAGAGGCACTAGGGAATTAGTTTTGACTCTCAAATTCTAGGCACCCAAAAACTTTTTTGATTTCCTCTGAGCAAATAAAGACAGCATAGGATAATCCTTATGAAACACTCTTAACCATTACAGTGGGCATCCAAAGTGGGGATATCGATTCTGCAAATAGAAACTTTTGGTAGCTGACATGGGTCACTGGTAGCCTCTCATCCACCATAGCCCATCTCCATGTCATCAGAACAGCCTCAACCCCCTTGAATGGGAGGCAGTACAGGGGAGCAGGTAAGGACATGGGCTTTGGGGGCAGATAGTCCTGAATTCTGTTACCTTGATGGTGGTTAGAATTGCTACAATTTTTTTTTTTTTATTTTTAAATACAGCAAGAGGGCTGGGCACAGTGGCTCATGCCTATAATCCTAGCACTTTGGGAGGCCAACATGGGTGGATTGCCTGAGCTCAGGAGTTTGAGACCAGCCTGAACAAGTGAGACCCTGTCTCTAAAAAGTAGTCAAGCATTGTGGCAGGTGGGCACCTGTAGTCCCAGCTACTTGGGAGGCTGAGGCAAGAGGATCGCCTGAGCCTAAGAGTTTGAGGTTGCTGTGAGCTATGACTCCTGGCACTCAACTGAGGGCAACCAAGTGAGACTCTGTCTAAATAAATAAATAAAGCAAGAGTCAAAGTTATTTAAAAAAAGTGGAGGGGGTCTTTAAATCTGATTTGATTATTATACTGGAATATAAGTCAGTTATAATCAAGAATACAATACCTGCTCAATAGACTTCGGCAACAAGACATCACATTGGTTGTGTTTCTAGGTAAACTGGAGTTGAAGGGAATTTCTAAAATGTGATGGCAGTTGATGTCCATGGGAGTGCTGGAGAGTATACCTAGACGTGGGACAGAGTGCCACTTATTTTAGAAATTGAGGATGTCATTGAACTCTCATTCTGTTCTTACCTTCTCCACCATGCTGTGTTTAGTTTTCCGCATGTTTATCCGCAGCTCTGGCTGTCACCTTTATATAGCAGCACATGCTGCATATGCAGGCCACGTATGCTGACACCTGTCCTCTCCCCTGAAAGATGCCACCCGTGACATCCAGGACATTAAAGACAGGACACAGTACCTGCAATGCAGGCTGTCATGAAGCAGGCGGCACTCCCCGCGATCAGAGCTCTCACTGCCCCTGAGGCGATGTCACGCTTTCTGGAAGGAGCTAAGGATGCTGGGAAGCATGGAAAGAGGTATTAGGGTTGACACTGAGGCTAGTGATTACAGATCCAAATTTCTAGTCTCTGAAAATTGGTTTAGTGCTGTAGTTTCAGGTCGGCTGAGCTCCCACATCCTTCTTCTTCCTTATTTTTTTTTTTTTAACTTAGCAAGATTCAAGAGCTAAGTTTCATCCAAAGGGCTCACAAGTGTATTGAGGCCATGGCAAGGCAAATGGGTTGCAAGGAGGCATCAGCTAATGAGATGGTCTGCAACTCACTGCCCCATCATCTACGTCTATGCCCATGGCAGACAGCACTATGAATCACAGCACTTTCCCACTGAACTTCCCTTGGCACTCTGAATCCTTCTCCAGGTGGCCATTATCAGTCCACTGGCACTGGTATGCAAACCAAAGCCTGTGTGCGAGCCTTGGGAAGGAAAAAGTGGTTGTACATTTGAGAAAATGCTTCCTGAGGTTAGCTTGAGTGTACAAGGAAAGCCACATTGTAGAACAGAGATAAAAAAATAGGCCCCAGAGATATACTACTATGCAGAGCCTTTTTTCCCTGGCATGACTAACATTACAAAGCAAGATGGAGATCCAAAGTATGTTTATGTCACAATATGGTTATGTCACATCTGTTGTTGAAGGATATTCTTTTCACTTACTGAGTCCACCGATCACTATTCCTAGGGAACCAATATTGGCAAAACCACAGAGAGCATATGTGGCGATTATCTCAGAGCGAATCTGTAAGCAAGCATAAACACATATGTGTATACCATCTGACCCAGCTTAATACATCCAACCAGGCTCCCTTTTGACTACAGAATCAATATTGACAAATAAATGCACAGTACATGGTGTCAAGTACCCACTGCTTTTTAGTCTCCTTTTATCATCTTCCCGTGAATTCTGAGGGGGTGCAGAAAGGGGAAAGGTGGATTTGAGATTCTACAAAGGGTTTGGGACACATAGCCTTGACTTCTACAAATGTGATTTCCTGCTCAATGATAGCTTTTAATATTTCATATGACTCAACTGCCTGCTATTATGTGCCAGGCACAGTACCAGTTTCTAGAGATACAATTGGTCCCAGAAAATATTCACATTACATTTACCTGACAAAGGACTTATTCAGAATACATTAGAACCTCCATAGTTGACCAGCTCTCCACATTGACCACGTCCTTAAGTTTTTTTTTTTTTTTTTGAGACAGAGTCTCACTTTATTGCCCTTGGTAGAATGCCATGGTGTCACAGCTCACAGCAATCTCCACCTCCTGGGCTTAAGTGATTCTCTTGCCTCAGCCTCCCAAGTAGCTGGGACTACAGGCGCCCACCACAATGCTTGGGTATTTTTTTGTTGCAGTTTGGCCAGAACTGGGTTTGAACCCACCACCCTCGGTATATGGGGCCGGCGTCCTACTCACTGAACCACAGGCGCCTCCCGACCACCTCCTTAAGTTGACCTAACTTTCATAGACTAAACATGCACCACATGTACCTATCAATCAGTACAGTAGGCCTAGTTCCTTATGTTGACCAGTTTGTTAGAGTCACTTGGGTGGTCAACTTACAGAAGTTCTACTGTGTATAATGAATTGTTATAACTTGATAATAAAATACAAACACCCAAGGGAAAATGAATAAAGAGATTTAGATCCTTCAGAAAAGATACACAAATGTGCAATAAGCATATGAAAAGATATTCCGCATCATTAATCACCAGGGAACTGCAAATTAAAAGCACAGTGAGATATCACTATGCATCCACTGAAATGGCTAAAATTTAAAAAGACTGGCAACAGTAAGTGTTGGCAAGGATGTGAAGGAACTAAATAGACCTTTTATACATTGCTGGCAGGAAAGCGAAAGCCTGTTTGTCAAACAGTATGGCAGATTTTTTATCAAGTTCACACATATTGCCTGTATAACCCAGCCATTTTTCTAAAAGAAATAAAAACACATGCCCACAAAAGCATTGTACATGAACATAACATTTCATTACATTTCATAACATTTTCATTATAGCCTCATCCTGAAAACAACCCAAATGTCCTTTGATAGGCAAATAGATGAATAATTGTGGCTCTCCATAAAATAAAGCATGGCTTTGGAATGAAAAGGGAAATATATGCAATAAGAATGCTGAGTCCATTTATAGAACATTCTGGAACATGGACAAGTATTTACAATGAAAGAAAAATTATTGTTGCCTGGGACTATGTCTTAGGGGGTGGAGGGGGGGTTGACTACAAATGGTGGTGAGGGAAATTTTTCACGTGTGATGATAACATTCCATATTTTGATTGTAGTCATGGTTACACAGGTGACACCAAAAATGGGCCCCTCGCTTGGTATATGAGAGCTGCCTGCAAAGTATCCAGCCATGATTAATACTGTTTTTCATATTACATGGCTGGGTACTTTCCAGATAGCCTTGGATAAATTATAACTCAGTAACAAGGATATAATTGAAAAGTAATTTGAAGATAAGTTAGCAAGAGGAAACTCTTGGATATCAGAGGGGCTTCCTATGGTCTGCCTGGTGGTACACCTGCCTTTGTCTGCATCTCAGGCTTGACTGCTGCCTTGGGGGAATGGCAGGATGCTCCCTGGAAGGGAGAGGATGAACAGCCCTTTCCCAGGGCAGTGAGAAGACAGAGGTGAATTTGTAAAAGCTGCTTATGGCCCTCTAGCTCAAGACCGGCTGCCTAGGCCAGCTAATCCTTTCTCACTTAAGGGACTGTAGGAGGCTGGGAAGATTCAGGGGACTCTGTTGCTCACTGAATCAGACACACCCAATCTAGCAAAGGTGTCATTGACTCTATAGATAAATTTCAGTGACTGCCTTCATGTTTTTTATGATCCTGTCCCTCTCCTGTTTTAGATTCTCTGCCAAGTAGGGCTTGGTGACCAGAACCGTGTAGCTACAACTTGACCTTTTGAGTTGTTGCCCAGAAGCAAGGGAATCTCAACTGATGCAGGCTTCTCGATGACAAGACTTTCTTTTGCAGTTTTTTGGCTGGGGCCGGGCTTGAACCTGCCACCCCCGGTATATGGGGCTGGCGCCCTTCTCCTTGAGCCATAGGTGCCCCTCCTTGATGCCAAGACTTAACCATCTCTCACTACTGTGCCTTAATGCAGGTAACCCCTTGTTAATTTCAACACAACCTGCCTCAGTGCATGTAGCCCCTCCATTAGTCGGGGACATGGATTTGAGACTGCTTTCCCCTGGATGATATCATTTACGTTAAAGATGTATTTCTTCCTTGGTAATCCCTGTGGTCTCAGTAATTGGCTTTCTGTGTGGCAAACAAATAGACCTAGGTCAGAACCTTATTGAGTTTGGTAACAAAGGTACCCACACAATTGGGGCAATAATTTTCTTTTCCAATATCCTGAAAACCCTACTATTTGGTTCAAAGAACATACCAAGCAAATGCTACACTCGAAAGTACCAGCACCATTTCTTTCTTTCACTAATAAGACTTTTGAAGGCTCACATTCAAGACTCAAGTGGTCATGGTAAGTTTTTTTGTTGATTCTAAGGCCCTTCTTCTCTTTCATAGTTTCTGAGAACGCCTTTGTTGATGTTTTCAATCAATGTGCGCATAGCAGGCAGAAAAAAAATATTTCACATATTTGTGCAGCCACTCTTCTCGGAAAAGTGGTCCTCTCCTCCCACTTTCTAGTGCTTTTCATTTAGCTCAACTAGCTTCAAAAACAGGCATGCTAATTAAGAGATTGTGGGAGAGAGGTGGCAGAAAGGGCTTGAAGTTCCTCTTTTCATTTTCTGGAACTCTATATGGAAAGGAACATACAGATGTTTCTGTAATTGATTTTATAAGAAAAGGAAAAGGAGGCTGGGATGACTCCACTTTGCCTTTGCCCACAAATGTGCAGGATTACCTAATGGAAAGAGACGATCTACACTAGGAAAATATTAATATTGCACCCTACAGAAAGTGCTCCTTGCATACAAGTAAAGATGCTTTAAGTGTACAGATGGGGTCATTATAGCACTACCTCTAATTGCAAAAAATTGGTAACAGTGTTCTTCAGCAAGGGAGTGGTTAGGAGGAATTGTGGTGTGCTACATATAAGAGTGTGCTATGTCACAAGCTCTGATATGGAAGAGTATCTGAGACATATTACTAAGTGCAAAGGTCAAGATTAAAAACAGTGCACATAGGCTCGGCGCCTGTGGCTCAAGCGGCTAAGGCGCCAGCCACATACACCTAAGGTGGCGGGTTCGAATCCCCAGCCCGGGCCCGCCAAACAACAATGATGCCTGCAACCAAAAAATGGCCAGGCGTTGTGGCGGGCGCCTGTGGTCCCAGCTACTTGGGAGCCTAAGGCAGGAGACTCGCTTGAGCCCAGGAGTTGGAGGTTGCTGTGAGTGTGATGCCACAGCACTCTACTCAGGGGGATAGCTTGAGGCTCCGTCTCCAAAAAAAAAAAAAAAAAAACAGTGCACATAATATGCTTCAAGGGGAAGAACTGGGAGGCAGAGAAATAAGGAAGGTGACTTACTTTTCTCTCCAGGCTATTTGTGGATCTTTTGAATTCTATACCATATTACGTGTTACATGGAAACAAATGAACAAACAGGCGATGAATTATCTTTAAGAAAGAGAAAATGAGGCTGGCTGGGCACGGTGGCTCATGCCTGTAATCCCAGCACTCTTGGAGGTTGAGGCAGATGTAGATGGCTTGAGCTTGGGAGTTTGAGACTAGCCTGAACCAGGGTGAGACCCTGTCTTTACTAAAAATAGAAAAATTAGCATTGTGGGGCGGCGGCTGTGGTTTAAGAAGTAGAGTGCCAGCCCCATATACCAGGGGTAGTGGGTTCAAGTCCAGCCCTGGCCAAAACTGAAAAAAAAAAAAAGATTGTGGCAGGCGCCTATAATCCCAACTACTCAGGAGGCTAAGGCAGGAGGATTGTTTGAGCCTGGGAGTTTGAAGTTATTATGACCTAGGCTGATGCAATAGCACTCTAGCCTGGGCAACAGAGTGAGACTCTTTCTCAGAAAAACAAAACCAAAAACAAACAAACAAACAAAACAGAAAGAGAACTGGGCACAGTAGCTCGTGCCTATAATCCTAGCACTTTGGAAATCCAAAGTGGGTAGACCGTCTGAGTTCAGGAGTTTGAAACCAGCCTGAGCAATAAGAGGGAGATCTCATCTCTACTAAAAGTGGAAAAACTAGCCAGGTATTATGGGCACCTATAGTCCTAGCTACTCAGGAGGCTGAGGCAAGGATTGCTGGAACCCAGGCGTTTGAGGTTGCTGTGAGCTATGATGCCACGACACTCTACCCAGGGTAACAGAGTGAGACTCTGTCTCAAAAAAAAAAAAAAAAAAAAGGGTGGTGCCTGTAGCTCAAGCGGATAAGGTGCTAGTCACATACACCAGAGCTGGCGTATGTTCAAATCCAGCCTAGGCCTGCCAAACAACAATGACAACTACAACCAAAAAATAGCCAGGC